GCAATGCTGTAATAACATATAGATTTACTGCGTCCGTCTGTCTAAATTCATTAGACATATAGTGCCGCCTTGTTTGTATAGATTGCTTATGGAATTTGATACTGCAATAACAGATACATAATAGCGAAACTCCGTGCTTGCGTCTGTTCCACGCTGTCCCTCGCAAACGGTTAATCATACCAAAAACTGGTAAACAGAAGAAAATGTTCCTCTACGAAACCTAACGCCAGGAAAATAATTGATTTTTCTTTTTAGAATACCAGACACAGTGATGCCCAACAAATTATCACTCGTAGTAAAAATTGTAAATGTAATTTCCCACGTTATGAATATTTTCAAATAGAAAGCTCAATATTACTTCATAGCATACTAGACACAATGACATTTTTTTATTTCCCTTGAATTTCAAACACTATTGATAGGTCCCAGTAAGATTTGTTGGCAAAAGGCTATTTCAGTCATCAAAAACGACATCAGGTCAAAGTAATCAACGAAAACTCACGCCAAGCCACACGACGCAAAGTCAACTTAAGGTACCCCACGTGACGCCTGGATAACTTCCCCTAAGCACGATGAGCATCGCGATGCCGAGACAAAAGGTGCCAAGAAACAAGCAGCTGAGAGGACAGACGCCTGAAGGCGCGACGCCGACCATCGCGACGGCGAGATGCGTTTAGAAGAATAACACAACTTCAAAGAACCCAACCCTTCGTCACGCGAAGGCGATCCTTCGGACTTCTAGCGTAGCTTCGCTTGGGGTCCCGATGCCGACCAGACTCCAAACACAGCTAAGACGTACCTAGTGACGCCGTACACATCACGAGGAATAACCTGACGCAAGTCACGCGACGGCGTTGCAACGCGTGCCGATTCGTAACATTGCGAGGCTAGTGATCACACGAGAAGCCCAACAAACTCGAGTCACAACTTTTAATGCCGCGTATCGCGGGGACTGTCGAAAAGTGTCCAAAAGCTAGGCGGTGACAGAACCAGATGAACCAAGGCAAAGTTATACGAAGGCAAAGAACGAAAGTCTTAGCCAGTGAATCCAAGGCCACGTCACACGACTTGTAACACGTGACGCAGATATGGCGATGCGTGGAATACTACGGCGACAAGCATAGCGACGCCGAGCCACGTGATGCCCAGCGCCGTGACACCGACCGTCTGAGCCGACACAGAAGAACATCTGTGATAATGCTGATAGGATGATGTGAATACACAGGTCTATAAAATTATTTCGCGAATTGATCATATTAGCACTCTGTCCTACTGCTCTATATTACTAAATTCAGATTTATTCGTCATAATTAATCTGTACGTAGTAGTTCATGTTTGTTTCTGTTTAACCATAATCTCATCTATGCTTAGTGATCGATTTTCATGAAAGTTCGTATATGGTAACATGGTGACATGGTAACAACATTAGTTCCATTCAGTGAATGTTTTGGTAGATTTGCAAATTATTAAATACACTTAAAAGTGCCACATAAAATGCTAATTTCGTATCACAAATTGTTATAATACCAGTATTTAAACTTTCAGTGTCGATGGGATTATTGCTTTCATAATATGTAATCGGTTTCAAAGTTAAGTAACATAAAGTAGTTGTCCATACAGAAATTGACATTACGAATTTCAGAAACATTTATCTAAATCATGAGGATAAACGCTTAGATAACAAATAAAAGAGACATTCTGCAGCATCAACAAAAGATTTCCGAAGACACAGCACAGTAAACCTTCATAAATGGAGATATTGCTCCACCTTACTACACTATTTCGTGAAGACAGCACTCTGCTTGTTACTATGCAAAGCGAACGCCCTGCAATTCCGTTCTACTATATATACCAATAAAGGCGCTGTTATGCTTCCGATGGGAATTGCCTGTAGGCCCCGAGACACCAATATCGTTTTATGGGTCCTTATACAGCAAATTCAAGGATATAAATTTGTGAGGAATACTAGTCACATAAAGAGAGTGCAGTGACACGTTTTAGCAGCGCTAATTGTTACGAACGACCGTGCTACATATCAGGCTACGCGCCTAAAGCTGGTTTCACACGCCTCGTTAGGGAGACCCTACTTCAATCCCTGCAATTTCAAGTGACTTTCTTTTTCTCTTTTTACAAAGTAGCGCTGGAGAAAATTTTTCTCCGAGGTTAATGTTGGACCATGCGAGTGACTTGGAAAATAGCACCCTATGTAGGGCAGGCAACATCCACAGAATAGAATATGAGTGATCTGATTAGCCAAAATTTCAAATACATAGTCCACATTTCGATGTCATTGGGTTGAAGTCGATGGCTTTCACATCGAACGCTGTCATAAATATGCTGGTCAGCAAAGGGGATGATCATGCGAGTCATAAATCACTCGTCACCTACTGCCTTACTACATAATGCTTCTAAAACGACTCAATATTCACCCAGAACATGGCAACTGTAATGTCTGCCGAAACATTGTATAACTTTTAACATTCAACGCGGCTAATCTCCGAAAGCCGAAATTATAAACAGAATTCCAGCTTAAGGAAAAGAATTATTTGCCAAAAAGACACTGGCAATAGCTCATTCTGTTTGCCGTATCGATACGACGATTAATAAATAATGAATATTAAAAACGATGTAGTAGAAAGAGGTAGTGGCCTAATTGAAGACACTATTTTTAGGTCTTGCCTGAAAGAGTAAAGGAAAACCAATTTAAAGCATCAAGCAGTATAGCCGGTTTCCGAATCGAGATTCAAATCCCTAAACCTTTCAAACTGGAAGCATAAATTCTAACCATTCCACCGCGACGTTAGGCGATGAGCTATAAAGTTTCAAAAATTAGTAAAACATACAAACTCACAGATTTGTACCTATGAATTGTACCGAAAATGTAAATCAGTGCGTTAACAACACATCGTTATCAGTGATGTTGTCCCATAGCGAGAGGACCTGTCAGACTTAGACAGAGACAACGAGCTAATTGAGTCTCGTGATGACCTGACAACCGGGAGTTAATTGTATTCCCTAGGTCACGTACGTACAATCGATTACAAGAAAGATTGCGTCTCGAATGCAAAAACAAATTCTCGGATAGATAACAAATAAAGTCTACATCTTGAGACAACGTGAAAATCGGTACATTCGGCCGTTCATAAACACATTTTATATTAACCGAATATTATCATGCACTGCATACCATGCTTCAGTTACTTCGGCTTTATTAACTGAGGCTTTTAACTTCTGCCGACGTTGATTTACTTACAAAATTTACTGTTACTACATCGAACAGGCTATAATTTGCGCCTCGCCTCTTTGAGGGGGAAGTTGCGACTTTAAGCAATTATTTGTTTGTAATTAGTGGTACAATTCAGAGACTTACACTTTTATATGACGACGAATATAGTAATACCGGTAAATTTAACACGAACAAACGTATACATCTATCATGTAAACGGAGTCATGTGTCTTTAACTACTTTTTCCTAAGGTAACCTGATGTTCAAAACACACAAAATTACAATTCTGATTTTCAGTCCGACCCGTTACGGGTGTGAAACTTGGTTTGTTACCCTAAGGGAAGAAAATATATTGAGAATACTTGAAAATAGGAGGCAAGAGGGAATATTTAGATCAAAGAGATAGGAGCATCAGTAGGCTAGCGAAATATCAATAATGGGGAGTTTCATAATTCCTTATCTTCACCAAATAGTACTGTGATGATCAAATCAAGGAGGATTTGACTGGCGGGACACATACGATGCGTGGGAGAGGTAAGAAAAATATACCAAATTGTAACAAGAAACAATCGAAACGTAAATGAAAACTTCAGGGTCCAAGGTATAGAATATTTCTCATAAACTATTCGTTGTTTATGTTTCATTCACCTTGTTCCTCTTGTGTTAATAACGCTAATAATAATTTAAAAGAGCCTAAACATTATGAAGCTCCTCACTATGTACTTTTCTCTCATCCGCGCTGCATTCAAACACCCTCAGTTTGGAATCGACATAATAATTTAAACAGCACTGATAACTTCGTCCTGCAGATATAAAGGTAATATTATCACAGTATTGCCTGAGCATTCGGTGGGGTTCAAATCAACACAGCCCCACGAATTGCAAGCTCATCTTTCGCAAATCACAAGAAGCCTGTATCTTTGATCAGCTAGACATCCCATGTCCGAATTTCATGTCAAATAAACATGTGTTCCATGTGAAATGAAATAGATAATCACTCTATTTCCCATAATAATAGTTGAGTATCATATTTAGGAATAAAGTTGGATTTTTACCAAGCCATAAATTCAGAAACTGGCCCTTATTTGTATATTTTATATTTGTGCATGGTTTATTTAACGACGCGTGTCACTAGCTCAGGTTGTATAGAGTAGAAATATTTTATACTGTAACAAATTCAATATACAGGTTTAAAGGAGAACGTCGATGAGTTCATGGCAGCTCAAAGCTATAACTTTAAGTAAAACTTGTTAAAATAACAAAAACATGGTTTAACATTTTTTCAATTTTTGCCATAAAGTTGGATGTAGAAACTATATAATGCGCTCATAAAGAGACGGAAAGCGAAATATATGGAACACTGCTGGTATAATGTCACAATTATGACCTCGATCGTAAACAAAGTTAGTTTTCATCTTGTAAAGACATCATTTTGAAAACAATACTTAAAATTTTAATGTTATTCCTAAGAGTTTCATTGGAAAAAATCTAATACTGCTTTGGCATCACAATAAACATATGTACTTAAATATTATTGTATAAAAAATATCATTCCAATTTGTAATTAACATCAACGTTAATGATAAAGCAAATTTCACAGAAAATAACAAATATCTGCAAAGTTGTTAATTTTCTTCTTCAGGGATATTATAAAACATTGCTGTATTATGGGAATTATAAAATAAAAAAGCATTATTTTCGCAAATGTCGTATATTTAACATTTAAAAATCAGTGTAATAAATATACTGAAGATATCTGACAAGTAGCACTCACCAGTGACATCTGTGGCGATGAGTCTGAAGGTGAGCAGTAGTGAGATGAACGGGTACGTCGTGAACACGTGTGAACCGTACCGGGCCATGAGGAGTGCAGGAACTGTCTCACCTTCCCGAACCGCATCACGACTATCCGACTACGCGTCCAGCCACTACAGCGACGCCAGTTGCATGGCGCCGGCGCCCTGCGCACAAGATCACGATGTCAACAGCATGCACCACACGCACAATTCTGCAAAACGCATCAGAAGAAAACAAAGTACTTGACACATGCACTTAACACTCGCTAAATAGAGCGACCGATCGCTGTATAAAAGTAGCTCCATGGCACACGATCTCCACTCGGCAAGGGACGTTTGTTCAGACGTCCGTGAATTGTGTCTACTCCCTTACGAACTTGTGACTTCAGAACAAAATTAATAGACAACTAATTAATCTATAATAATATACACTAACTACATGCATCATGGGAAGTTGATAACCGCTCAACTGACAATTGCATTTACCGCCTTCTATAGAATCCGAAAATTCACTGCTAGCTGACCTAAACGGTCGATTTTTGGTTTGTTTAACGACGCTGTCAATAACTCAGACTATACAGCGTCGAATAATGAGCTGTAAAGGATTCGGAAGGGCTTGTGGGCTTATTTATCCCATCATTCGCCTGGAGGGACTAAGAAAACCATAAAAACCTCAGGATAGCTGGTATCCAGACCGGCATTTGAACCACGGACCTTCTGAATACGATTCAGGAGCGCTGATCACGCTGTGACGGCTACTTAACCATCTGAAAATGCCTCGAAAATTGTGCATTTTTTTTCTTTTTGGACATAAAAGTATCAGAGCAAATGTTTAAATTGTCAAATCAAGAAAAATAATTATATTCTTCTTCTCCCTCCAACTCTGACACCCAGAAACTTTTGCAACTGAAGTGGATTTTGAACCAACTGATGCTACTAACGCGTGTGCGAATCCGCCATTGCAACTTGCAGCAGACAGTTTCTGATGTGTTCACTAAGAGCACTAAGAGTATTTGCTTCTTCCTTTGAAGCTGTGTGATATGTTACAAGGGAATACCAGAGTTTGCATTTAAATGACTTCAAAAACGAAAAATATAGTGGAAGGGAATAATGTGCATTATTTTAGAAAACAGCCAACTTTGTAAAACCCAACAGCAAGAACTCTACACAGTATCATAATTAGTTCAGTTCTTGTGCTTTCTGTATACGAAATGGGGATATCGTGTCTGTCCGTACGCATGTTTCATCTCCGAAACTACTGAACGGATTTAGATTACATTTAAATTATACCAAATGTCGTTCAGTTATTTCAAATTTTCTTCGAATAGACGTTCTTAATTTCTAAATTTTGATAATGACGAATATATTCAAAAGTCTTAAAATACGTGCTGCAAGTTAGAAACAACGGGTACCAAATAATAAAAAAAACACAGAGACAATTTAAGGCTGGGAGAGAAAGAAATACATTCAGAACTTAAAGTTGTTCTGTGCGTTGTAGGTCGGCCAGACAAGCATGACTGAGTAACTGATACAAGCTGAACATGCCACCTGGAAGTTCTAATCAGTTAGTGTACCATTAGGTATGTTTCTCTATGCATGTAACTGCATGGCATTTTTCCACCATTTCACTTAACCACAAGTTCATTTCATTAGCTGCAGCTGGTCAAACACTATGATCATAGGCAGAACACCTGGGTGCTTGCGGAAAATCATGTCACATGGAACTGATGGGTTAATTGGCAATACTGCGGAAAATACACTACACTGCATTTATGTGGTTAATTTCTTTCCTATGTTGCTTTCTTCGTCATATGCATATATCAAACATAGAGGGCGTGACATTTTCTATTGGATTCCAGTGGCGGGTTATTTTAAACGCGATAATAAACCTTCGGGAATTTCTTGAGAATCTGAAGCGACTACCAGTTTCTGAATAAGTTGGCTAGTCAACTACGAAACACACTCATTTTCTTGCATCAACTGTCTTTAATATTAGACAATTTAGGAAATCTTCGAACCCTGAAATATAGAGATTTTAAATTTCGAGAGACAGGTTGATCTTTGTCCTATGCTACTCCTACATGTCACGAAGCTCCGCCGATAAATGATCTGTTTCGGCCTCAAGATTGTAAACGTGTAGTAGTCTTTTCAAAGGCAAAGGGAAAAGAACTCAATGAATGTCTATTATGCAAAGAAAGAAATTTTCACCTCAACGGCAGGGATTATTATATCCAAATATATCTCGCCAGATCAAATATTGTAAATTTCGTCTAAGCCTGCGTAGGCTCCTGAGAGAGGCAGAGGTTGCTTATACAGCAAAAGACGTATAGCCACCAGTCAACCGAGCACAGTTTCTGAAGATCAAAGGCACTGTTTGGTCAGACGGGGTACAAAAAATTGGAGAATTAACGTTTTATTATCGAATTCAATACGGCTTTTTCTTGAAATACTGAAGAGTTCTGCCACCTGTTGAGGAACTAGTAACATAGCAACTTATTCTGTGGTTGCTCCATTATTCTATAGATGTCGATACCAATAGCTACAACCCTATTTAACCAGAATATTATCTTATGAAACCTAAGATATTTTACACTGTTAAAAATATTCGCCACTGGTGCGTGTATTGAGTCATAAAAATCCAATCCGCAACATCCAAATTTATTTTTAGTGACGACTTTAATATTATATTCTCATCTACTTCTGGTACTCCAAGTTGTCTCTTACGTTCTGATTTTCCGACGAAAATTTTGTATGCCTTAACAGAAGTAATTTAACATAGATAAATTTCAGAGCGAGTATTGTTTACAATATGCAGACAATGTTACAGCATTATAATAGAGTGGTGCCTTATTAAAATACATTCAATTAATTATTTTATTAATTAGCCAGTATAAGAGACAGGGCGCGAATCGCGATGACATTTATGAAACGAAATAATAACGACGTAGCTAAATATCGTTTTAAAACGTCCCACCTTCTTTCATCATGTTTTTAAGATATCTTCTCCTGCTTAAGTTACTGCAACAAGAAGCATAACAAGAAAAATTCTTGCCCCCCCCCAACGAACACATGCATCCTGGTTTCTGACCCATACTTGCTAAACACTGGTAAATACTTATCAGATAAACTATATTTGATTAATATGTAATTTAGTGACGCTATATAATCTACATCGCGTATTTAGTTTCGAAATCAACATAAAAACGACTGGGGACAGGGAATTTGGAAGAATACGTGAGAAAGTGATTGCAGAATATTTTGAAGTAAAATCAAATACTTGGTCTTTAAGAATTATTAAAACCTATGGATAAACCGAAATCAAGACAGTCGCTTCACTGGTGGAAATTTAAATACAAATTAAAATTTCTACCTCTAAGCTGGCCTCCGTGAACGTCAGCTACAGCAAATATAAATGTTCAAAATGATGAATTCAATAATTTCATTGCCCTTCATGTAAATAATTTGTCGATGTCGGAGTGGTTTATAACGTGACACAATTAGGAACATGTGAGTAGGAGAGGACTCTGAGCATTGGTATTGATTGCAAAGGAGAGCGAGTAGCCTCGTATTTCATAACGAATGAAATTACGAGTATTCCTAGGACCAACACGAGTAAAATTCTTCGCACTAACATCGGCCTATGTTTGAAATACTTCTCTGATTCACTCTGAAATATCCCGTCGTTAGAACATAATACCTAAAATATAGCTTTATAAGTATCAAATATTCAGTAAAATATACAGAGGTTATTCCGAGTCAACAATAAAATACATTCAGGCTTTAGAAACAGAAACTATAATGTAAGTATGAACCAAAGTGGCTTATTTCAATAGAGTGCAAGTGATATTACGTGGCTGAGGTAAGTAGTGAGATCTTGGGATTTCCAAATTCATTGACTACAAAGTTTTCGCTCTGTGTGCCTGCGAACCACACTTAGGGAATTGTGCAAGTGGGATACAAGAGTTTTTGGGTCCAAGAGAGAGGAATCAAAAAAACTATGAAAATTTTGCATAATACGGAGTTTTATAATGTATAATCGTCACTAAATAGCAGATAAACAAAACAAAAGAAAAGCAAAATAACGGACGAGACGTGTAGCAGGCTTACCGAACGGGGACATCAGAAAAGCATTCAAATTTTTACTTGGAAGATCTGAATACCACAGACTACTTAGGAGTCCTAGACGTGGATATTATTTAAATACATGAAAGAAGGAAAATACAACATAACGTAGTTGTGATGATTTCTCATCCGCATGACAACTAGCCCATAAAAGTATGTAACGGCATGCTTCTTCATTTGCAAACGACCATTTCAGTAACATCAAATCGGGCATGTTACACAACGTTTCGTCTAACCAGAACACAGACGTAATATTACATGCCATAAACATAAGCCTAACGTTCTAGGTGCTTTTCAGATAGATAAAACATTGCAGCCTAAAAGAATAAGAAATGTGAATCACAATAGTTTAATTTAATATATGCCCAATGCAAATCACACTAACCTGCTGGGGTAAGTACAAGTTTTTCTCGCAGTACTGAAATAAATATGAATTAATATGTGTCTGTTAGTGTTAAGTTAAAAGTGACTGATCTTTGCGCAAGTTACCAATAAAATGACGAAGAAGAAGAAGATGGACCGAGTCGTAAATCCCGTCAGTTTTTCGTCACCAGTAGCCGCTCCAGCTCGAGACAACGGGAACAGACCAAAGGTTCCTTCAGTCGTGAAGGGTGTGCTTCTCCGTGGTTATCAGTCAAAAGAACGAGTACTCACTTTTGATAGGTAAATCCTTCACGAGTGTATCGTCTGCAAATATTAGATGCGCCTGACACCGCTTATGCAGAGGTGATGCTTTAAGGTCCTGTACTTCTTCGTATAGGTTATGCACTGCCGTTGCCCTCATAGTGTGCGTCGTAACGGCTGGTGTTTTCGTCAAGTGGGCATGGGACAAGTTCGCCAGAAGTCCCATCGTGGTAAACGTGGAGACAACCAACTACCCGCTATACAAACTGTACTTCCCGGCTGTTACCATCTGCCCCGCCAACATCGTCAAGAGAACGGTTGGAGAGGAGCTTCTTACAAGGTGCAGGTCTCATTTTGAGATCTGAGGATCTCATGGTGACAGGTGTGAAGATGGCTGTCTTCTGGGATGTTGCGCCATGTAGTCTGGTAGATACTGACAGACGTTTCATAGGAGCTTAATGCTTCGAATACCAGTGTAGGGGCATTAAGATCCTCTAAAACGTTGGCCAGTACCTACCAGAAGATGAATGTGTTCTTGAATATTGCGCCTTGTAGTCTGGTAATATATTCATCGACGTTTCAGTAGTACGTACGGCATGAGCAGTGACAGTAGCTGTCAATATTACAACGAGGCCTCAACCCCTAAGTACAGCACGCCAACGTAAAAGGACTCATGTTGTTTTGTAGGTACCTGAACGTGAGTCTAGATGGCAGACTGCAGGAGGTCGTGCGGAACGTGATGGGCGCCCTAGCCATTTGCCAACATCCCTTCTATTACAGAATGCAAGATCATCTCGAACCAATTCTCGACATCCTGCCACAATTTGAAAAGTTCAACGTGTCTCACTTCATGCTGCAGGTAGCCTATGTCAGCGGTCTGGGTGAGCCACATACATACGAGATATCAGAGTTCCCTTATTTTTATCATAACGTTTATATAGCTTTTGGATTATGTACAAAGAACTTATGACAAGCCGGGATATTTCAAAATGTTGCATAAATAATTATTAAACAGACAACCCTGTCCAAGCAACACATTGCCATATTCTCTAAGTTAGGGACTTCAGATCTGATCCATCACCTGACTAGTTTCAAAGTAAACAACGTTCCATTTTACATTTTAATAGTATATTTAAAATATTAGACTCGTAGTTTTCGTAATGTGTCAAACATAATCACTTCATTTATCAGGGTTTCTAATACACCTAAAACGGACAGTGACTCCAAGAAAATGTTAGTCATAATGGTGATCCTGTGATTATTCCAAGTTCAACTATAAATAACTCTAAATAAAGAATTATCTTCTTAGGAGTTAGGCCCCGCATACAACAAGCTAGGTTATATAAGTTTTCACTTTTTACATATCGATATAATTATTAAATAGGAACGTCAGTTGGACCCACAAATACATGAAAGGATAAATGAAATTGTTCAGTTTTTACCCGTGATATGAATCTCGTGAATCTCACACACGCAGATACAAGTAAAATATTCCGAAGAAATTATAAATTCTGTATTAGGTAGGTCAGTATCTGCAACCATAGAAATAGTAACGGGGTCTAATAAAGCGCGTATCAGATATATCGGCACGGCTATGGGTGATGGATAATGACAGATCGAACTGGAAAAATAAGGACAGGTAAACACCGCATTTACAAGAAGAAACCGAAGCAGGGAACGGGAACTTGACTAGTAATGCCTATATCTGTAAAATCATGGTTGAATCTTTTACACATAAATTTTGGTAATGTGTGTAGGTGCTGCCCACGTGCTCGGAACTTTTTGGCAATTGCTTCTGGCTGGGGAAGGAAGTCAACTGTTGCGAAGTTTTTAATCTTCAGAGAACAGAGGCTGGTTTCTGCTACTCATTTAACTCACTCACGTCTGACAATACATGGAATTGGTGAGTTTTATTTGAACCTCAACACAAATTAATCCAACCCTCCTTACTAAATTAAACTCTTATTGCATAGTCGTTATCGGTGACTGCGCGATGTAAAATGTGAATTTGGTTAAGCCGCCTGGACACAGCAATTACAAAAAAATATTTGTATACGTCGTTCACCTTTCTACCGATAACGAACTCCTATCTTTAAGTTTGTCTGAATGGAACTTAGACAATATGTATGATTAACAACTTAGTCTCTCATATTAAGGCAAGAAAGCATATTGTAGATGTTTACAGACAAAGAGCTGGTGAGATTATTTTGACCTAAGAGGGATGTCACGTGGTAGATAAATAAGAAACATTTATGTTGGGAAAAAAAGTCGTTACTAGTCATGCACACGGAGCTTGTGAGCTTTCTGGAATATTGCTTGCTTATTCTAGTGCCGAATCGGAGGAGTTTTCTCGATTCTTAGTAACCCATGAAGAGAAGAACGAATTCAGTGAATGCGAGCCACGTCACAACATCGCTTCCGGAACAACTACGGGGTTGGAAGTATTCCTGAGGCCCTCAAGGCCTGAGAACTCTCTGCAAGAAGGACAGCGTGACAAAAATGGGGCCCGGGTATGTTGCTTTACGATTACTAATTCGCTACAGTAGTGAAATGGCGCCATACGTAATACATGAATGCACGCATAGTTACACGTTACACACAAAATAAACAAACCTGGGCAGCTCAGCTGTCCGGAAGCACAGAACGAAATCAGAAATATTCCTAACCCGTATGTACCACATTTTTAGCATTCAGTAAGTCTGTGTTTTGACCATAGAGTGTATTTAGCCTGTGGACCTCGTATGACACTCAAAACATGCAGTGTTATTTCCATTAAAAACACCAAAATATTTAATTTTGTAACTGAAAAGCCTGGTGTTTTTACATGAACCTCGGCTTCAGAGGTTTAAATTTATAAAAGGCGCCGTTAGATTATGTTTTCGCTGTGAAATGAAATAGAAACCGCGAAGGATAAGGTCGAATCTCCGAGCTTATTACATGCTCCGAAATTTCTTAAAAGCATTTTGAAACCTTGACTTTATATTCCGAAAAAAATACCATCATAAGCACGTCTTTCACAGTTTTGTGCCACACAGAAGACAAAGCCTGTGTCTGGACAGGGCTCAAGTTTTTGAACTTCCCATGTACTCAAAGAAGGCGTTTTTAGTTCTACTTACCTAAATCGTGTACATGTAAACGGAATACTTCGACTTGTTCTGTTCTGACCGGACAGTAAGTAACAATTATTTTGTATGATTTGAGGTTTTCACAGCGGTGAGTATGAAGATTTCCGTCTTCTGGGTTGTTGCGCTGTGTAGTCTGGTCGATGTTAACCAACGTTTCAGAGGTCATACTGCCTCCGTCATCAGGGCGATGAATGTGCCAACAATTACTTTGTTCTTTGAAGGTTTATCTTCATCACCCGGTGCAGTTACCTGAGGTTGGGACCGGCATCCACATGCCCGAAAAGAACGGCATGGCGTTCAGGATACAAGTGACGCCCTCAGTGACGGAAAGCAGCATCGGTGTCCGGGCTCTCACCATCTCTCAACGCCAATGTTTGTTCCCGGACGAGTTGCGTCTCTCAGTGTTCAAAACGTACACACAACAGAACTGCCTTCTGGAATGCAGACTTAGAAATATCGCTAGTTTTTGTGGATGTCGCCCGTACGTCTTCAGCGCGTTCACAGGCATGTTTTATTCGGATTAATGTCCGTAGCCAGCAGGACCGTGGTTTGTAAAGACATAGACATCTACACTTAGTCAGATGTGTTTTGCTTTAATTTAACTCGTTTTACCATGACAGGTTACACTCGAGTTTAACAATAAAACCTAAGGAATCTTTATGTCTCACCAGTAATATTCATGGAACACGAGATACATAGAACAATGTGGAAAAATGCACGGAAGAATTCAGTCAACAGGCTATCTAAATCAGTTCACGATTAATGTTTTCAATAACCTGTTCTCTGGTTGTCTGATACAGTAAGTTTATCGTCATAATGCACTATTCATCAGGACGATTTTGTTCCGGCATTCCATCGAAAGACTTCCACGGCACCAGTTAATCTCATATTCATGCTTTTCTTAATCTCATTATCAGCTTCCACGTACTCGTCATTGTTCAGACGTGTCCCCTGTGCGTTACTTTTTATCCTTGAATTAACTGATTACCTTCTCTTCTTTTAGCAGATAATGTTCCAGAATGTACCCTGATTCAACTCTGGTGCTTAACACAACATAATCGTAAGTACGCTTGGTCTGACCTTAAACAATACAACAATTACAACAGTAACCCATGCATAAAAACGTAAATACGTCTTACATTACACTAAATAAGCTACTAGAAAGACCTGCGATAACACGAGAAAATAATATTGAACTTAAACGAAATATACGTGATGGTGCGGACTAACTCATAACAGAGTCCAATAGAAGGTTCTTCTGGGCACAGTGAGAATACTTCTGGTTCCTTGAATGGTGGCGAAAATATTACCCAGCTGAGAGACTAAATATTTTTAAGAAACACTATTTTTCTCTCAGTGTGAGATGCTAAACTCACACCCATACAAAACAACAGGTAAAATTGTAACCTTACGACGTGCTGTATTATATTCATGCAAAATGCACTGACAACATTTATCCTTCAAGATCAGTCATTGAGCGTTCTTATACCCAGTTGAGTTGAGGATCTTCAGGCCTCCAAAGGGAACACGTGGTTTCGAAAATTTGACCGCTATCGACTGCTCTAACTGCCTGCCAACCTGCCATAGCAGCCACTACGCCTTGCACTACAGTTACACTGACGACAGCAACCCCTATGCCAGAGACAGCGGTGGTTACCTGGAAGTGTTCTACAAGGATCTGTCTGCCATTAAATATCATCAGAAACTGGCTTTCGATTTCATGGATCTGGTCGGTCAGTACGACACAGTTTTAATACGATAACTATACGATATAACACCTAAGGTGTCAGTCATTTACATTAATGATTAATTTTGAAGTGAGGGAATATTTAAGTTACTGAAGGGTTTGTGGACTTGTTAACTTGCAAGTATTAATAAGATGTGATATCGATCTATTTAAAATGTGATAATTTTTAAACAAATCTATGGAGCACAGTCCTTCGGATAATCTATGAGTCGCTCACCTACTCTGGAAATTCCTTGCATTTCATAGATTCTTTAGATTAATTTCAAAATTCTGTGATAGACTATTGGTACTCAGGTTTTCCGACTAAATTTCTTCTACGCTATAGTTATATTTCTCGTATGGCGCAATCATGCTTCACGACCTGACCATCACATCATCCTTGATTTAAGCATCCAAATAATATTTGGTAGACAAGGCTTGAAAGTTATGTCTCCTTCTTATGTAATGATCTCAATACTTCAGTTACTTCGCCTCCTTTAATATAAATACAAAAATTTACCTCAACACCCTGTTCTCAAACACCAACAGTTTTTTAGATAATTGTTTCACGTCTTATTTAAATTGCATTATAATTAAATTTTTCCCGCATTATGACAAAGATTTTCCTAAGTGTGGGTATAAACTGTAAGATTTTTATACTTAGGTAAATAAATACCACAAACGACTGATAAAATATTAAAACAAATTTCCCTTTCCGGAGGCCTACATCATCTGTATATATTTGTGCTGCATTTACTCTTTTTATAAGTTTCACCCATAACACATGCATACATATACCTATATGAATTACTTTTTATAGAGTTACATTTTAGACAAATCACGATTCTAATTTATTTTTATGTGAGACTTCTGTAGATAGTAATTATTCAGAAACAGTTTGAATTTTCGCATAAACTTTGAATTAAATTCATCAAACGATTACAATTACAATTACGATCTTTCGCTTTGGAGGTTTATCACATGCGCACGTCATTTTGATCTCCTTGTATTTCCAGCGCAATTTTCTGTCCATGAATGTGATAGCTTTGATTTATTTGATAATTATTTCAGTTGACTTATTACATTGTACCTCTAATGTTTCAGTGTCTATTGGGGGTGTGGTCAGCCTTTTTCTTGGATTCAGCTTGCTGAGTGTGCTTCAGTTCTTTTACCTCTGCGTCATGAGATGTGTCACGTTCTGGCAGAATATAAAATGGCACACAAACACACTCAGACACGCCTGGATAGAATAGTAAATAATGTGTCATGTGTGTCCTTAGAGTTCCGAAGAGCACATCTTTATATTTTATCAAATGAAATAAAAGAGTTTGAGAAATTTTGGCAAATTACTGAGATATGAAAGCACATTTATACAGTTATTAGTTTGACCTTTGTCTCGTCTCTCCACAACACACAAGTCAACATCTGAGCACGTGTACCTGTTTCTGTCCATTACAGCAACGTCGGTGCCACTTTCTGACACAGTAATAAGAAACATAAACACAATGTTTTATATGTTCTCCAAACTGCATTATTCAGAAACAAAAATATTTGGCGTACGAGTAGTACAGTCAAAGTGTATAGCGAAGACGCTGCCTTCTGGGTTGTTTCGCCGTGTAGTCTGGTAGATTTCCACCAACATTTCAGGGGTCATACTACCTCCGTTACCGCCCTGATGACGGAGGCAGTATGGTCTCCGAAACGTTGGTTAACATCTACCAGACTACACGGCGCAACAACCCAGAAGTCAGAAATCTTCATACTCACCGCTGTGAAAACCTCAAATCCTACAAAGTGTATAGTGCTTAAAAAAACAAATACAACGTAATTTTACTGTATTTAAAGAATAATCAGTATGACATTCAGTTAATGATGATAATTGTTTTACATTATCCATCGTACTATATCTACAAAGACTACATCACGTTTTGGGTGTTGGATCTGTTTCTACCTTCGTCCGTTGCAGGGGGCTAATATCAACCAGTGGAATAAGTATCAATAGTAATTGTAATACACCACCAACAAGGCCTTTTGGAAATTGTTCCATTGACATTCAGTGTTCTGTCAAAGTCTCTGACAAAATCCTGAACTGTGTGTTTGTGTGTGTACGCGCGCAGGTGTACATGAACTAATGTCTACCACAGGTGTTTGATACATTTAGACCCAGTAATATTATTAAATAGTACAAATTTGAAATAGAAAGTAGGAACTTTTTCTCACATACAGATTGTCATATTTAATACTCCCCGTGAAACGTAATACAAGAATTAAATTAATTTCGCCGAGGAAGGTTTCCTTCGCTTTGAAATTGTTCTGAATTTTAAAAAGTTTATGAAAATACATTTTACAACGTTTATTATTCTCAGCATTAGTGTCTTTTAAGAAATTTGCACAACACCTCTTCAAAAACTTAAAGTAACATAAATATGATAATGCTTTGTGCACACAATTTGTACAATGGAATGACGAATAAATCGCAGTGTGTCGATTTTATGTTAATTATAGAACGTTTCACAGAAATAATAAGTGATGTCGCGTGTATTGCCGCTTTATATCACACATAAACATATACTTTAGTCTGTCTCCTTACAGTTATTATTGTGTGAACTTTTTCAGTTTGTTGTTAATAAATTTGTTTATCTTTGATAATGATTTATTTCTTATTCGTTAATAAAAGCTTCCTTCTACTCTGTAAAAACCATTCTGATGCCATAAATACAGTTTTCTCTATGAATATATCAAAAACAACGTGAATAATGTATTTGGTACGTTTTACAGATGGCGTTCTGAGTACAGGGTGTTTCATAGGTTAGTCTAAATTTCAGTGTCACTGGTATTTCTACACAAATATTTGTTATGTTGTTCTTTTCGCCACTTTCTGCCATCAGGCATAGATTACAACGAAACATCTCCTCCCCAATAAGTTTATTGTGAGCGACGAGTCATATTTATGGTTGCCACGTTTACTGCAGTTAACCGCTTCTCACGTATGCTTCAACTTTCTTTAGCCGCATGACTGAAATCTCGCATTGCATCTGGACCAGAAGGATATCAGAAGCACACATGACACATGAATATCACTGCCCAAACCCGTCAATCGTTCGTCAGTTATCAATATTAAGCTTTAAATTATACACAATACCCGCGGTTACCGTATTAAAATTTTCCCCTTCTGACAAATACCACATATTTTCAAAAGTTCTATTAATATATTAAGTTTCAATACAATTCATTCACTTCCACTAGTGATGTTACCATCATAGAATTATTAAAAATAAGGAGATAAAAAGTACGAACGGTGAAATCTCTCCAATAGCACAATGTTAATACTTGCCTCCAACAAAAACTATTCTCTCTACAAATTATTAGTATTGAAACATACTCAGACTTAACTGCATATGTCGCAATTTTACTATTTTCTTCATACGAAAAAGTGAGTGCACATTAAAATAAAAGTGTCCCTACTTGTGGCAATTCCATAGATTTTAAACAAACTTACACGTTTATTATTTTTTTGTCCTCTGTTACGTACACACAAGAATTATAAACGTCAGAATTTCAAAACTGTTGCTGAGTAACTTCCATCAGTTTACGTGGGTAAACCCCTAATACGCGTTTGCCTCAGGCGGAAAGTAGATCAGTAATAATTTGATAATCAACGTCTCCTTGGTTTAGTCGTGATGTCATAATATACGCGTTTGCCTCAGGCGGAAAGTAGGCCAATAATAATTTGATAATCAACGTCTCTTTGGTTTAGTCGTGATGTCATAACCCTGAGGCCGACAAGGTTTCCTGACTTCACTACTTTGGAACTTCTCGTTAAATGTCTCCTACGCCACACAGCATTGAAGAACTGAAGATTCTGATGAGATACACAGTAAGTGAACGAACGTATTGCTGGCAGGGTATGGGCAGAGTTGGGCCAACTCTGGGAGATCTCTCATATTATCAAAGGAATGAACGAACGTATTGCTGGCAGGGTATGAGCAGAGTTGGACCGACTCTGGGAGATCTCCCATATTATCAAAGGAGCACACGTGGAGAATGCGTCACAATGATAATGTAGTCATTAATTTGAAGTGTTTCACATTCCCATTTAAGTAAACCGGAACTATAAATTTATTAAATTGTTAAGTAAGTTTAAAATTACCCTGCACTTAACTGTCATACATGACAGACTGCCGTCTAAAATGTCAATGGGTTTTCATTTTTATATAAAAAGACACATTATAAATGCATGATACAGCATGTTCATTGTAGAACACATTCAAGTAAACAAGAGTGTGATGTGTATAATGCACCAATCTCTAGTCATAAATTTTCTAACCATACTGTACTGCTGTAGAAACTGAGCGTAAGAAACAATAACAAGTCACTTATCAGCTGTGTCAGAAGAGACGATCGAATCAAGTCCAGCCCATTTCCTTTACCATTCTTTACTCGCGTAAACAATTTCACAACAAAAAGAGTGTTACTTGTGAACAGTACTTGGCTACATTACTGGGAAACTACTGGAGAACATCAAATGGACTGGACAATTCCAGCAAGTGTAGTGTAAGTATTCCAAATGGTGTCAAAAGGAGACGGTAACGTTAATTTGATTAAAGTTTTCTAAGGTGTGTTTTAGCGTCATTATTACTCAAAATTACGAAAATTACTGATCAAAGTCATCAGGGACTTTGCATTATAAATGCATTTTCTACCGCTCTATTGGACGATCTCACTGGAACCAGTTAAAATTAATTACTTCCTAAAGTTTCAAAACAATACAGGTATTCTTTTTTTCAACTTCATCGCATTCATAATTAACGGTTAATTCATTTTCCATCCTAATTTTGCCGAAATTTGATCTATAGAGAGTGAACCTTAAATATAAATGCAATTGTCATTATCACAGCAAACGATAACTAAAGGCTACTTCGAAATAAACACGTTATTCAAATCTGTCCACTGAAACAGAGACATCAGCTACTTAAGATTTCTTATTAACCTACTGATGTATTCATTTAAATAACAATGATTCTCTCACCCTGGTTATAAAACTTCGAACGGTAGGACATTGTGTGAATGATTAATTGGAAACAATATGAAATTAGTGGGGCGTGGCCTATTTTAAAATGCTATACCAGCAATTACCCTAGACATATGAAGGGTAAACACGATAAGTGTCACTCAGTAGACCATAAAATCCCACCGAACTGAGATTATATATTCGAGATTCTCAGATACGACACAGAAACTATCGGTTTCTATGGTTTCGAAAACATGCGACTATCGAGTGAGATCTGAGGTTCTCAAGGCATCAAGTATGGAGTCGGCTGTATTCTGGGTTGTTGATCTATGTAATCTGGTAGACGTTTACCTACATTTTAGAGGTACTTGATGCCACCATCATCAGGGCGAGCACCTCTGAATTGTCGGTAAACGTCTACCAGATTACATAGATCAACAACCCAGAATACAGCCATCTTCATGCGACTATCGAATTCACATTCCCATTAGCATGTCTAATAAACACTGATCGTATTTGAGTCCTACAACATAAAATTTTTAATTGGTTTACGTCTTAGAAAACGTTTACTGCTCCTTAGGGCTTACGAATAAAACAGTGTTACTTAAAAGTGTATTTATTTAACAGGAGAAAGCGAAATCCTATCAGAAGAAGAGAGCGTAAAAATTATCTCAGTCCTCTTGGAGTTTTAAAAGAATTCTCCCAAGAAAGTACACTCCACGGACTGCGATATATCACCAAGGATTCGTCCAGCATTTTTGATAGGTAAGAAATTATTAGAAACTATATCTCCACACCTCTACAACAGGGACTTTATGCCGAAGACGAGCCAATGTTCTTGTCTCGCACGTGCGGTTAAGCCGAAAATCGTTCCTTCCTGAGGAATGCTCATTTCAGATGCAATTTAATTAATTCCTATTCTCCTGTTATCCCGAATACGCTAATCAATCCGCTCCAACGTCAACACATGGCAGCCCAAAAGTATCATTGCCAGTACTCGTTCCTCCAGCTCCGGGTCTTCGAATCTTTTCACTTATTCGTACATCTATGCTATAGTAGTTATAGTCTAGCTGTAGTCTATGATTATTTCGTAAATTTTAATAATTTTCACATCCTTCGAATACAAAATTTAATCTTAGGTCACTGTTCTTTAATGTTTTATGCGAATAAAGCAGCCATGTTAAACGTGTTACAGTATTATCAAAACTCAAGAGACAATGAGAAACAACCAGATGCAAATGATGAATAGTTTATATTATTTATATCCGTCATTTTAATACTGACATTGGCTTTTGAAATAAATTATATTTTTTTATCTTTTCATGTTTCCTCGTACTTCTATCGCAATTTTCCCAGCATGTCTAAGGAAAATGCAGAAACGTGTTTTATCACGGAACTCAGTTACTTACTCTGCCAACCCACTACACTCAGTACAAATTACTGCAGCTAAGTGGTGTAAAAACAAACAACACAAAGTAGAATTATCGAGTGTCCATGTTTTTATATGAAGGCTGCCTTGTTCACCTGTTGAATTATTCATTGACTTCATCAGTCACATTCATGCCCTATGTATAAGACTCAATAAAATATGGGCTAATATACAGTGCGAAATCTGCCAGAACTAAATAACTGCAACTCTCTTTAATAATATTATCTGATCTCGCATATAACCGTTAATGGAACAGTCTAAGAAGGTTAGATACACGGTTAGAATAGAAAATAACACCACCTCATTTAACTTCCGTTAAGAAAAACTTATCTATCTTCCTTCTCTGACTGCGTCGGAGTTCCCTCGACAGAAATATATCTGTAAAACCCTTACTCATTATCTTCTTGCCCGTGGGGACAGGTTAGTCACTACGGTCGTTTCTCTTCCTTTCAATGAATACACCCAACTTCCGTAAAATAATTAGCTCTCGGTGATTTAGAAGATTAGAAAGTACGGGATTAAGGTAGCCTCTTATGATTTCATATTCATACTAAATTTCGTAAAAATTGATCACCTGGTTACAAAACTTAGAGGCTGGAAACTCATACACATAGTTTGGTAATCTCCTAAGCCTACTTTATTTCCTTTAACTAAACAAAGTAGGATAAGAATTCAAAATGAATATAGGTTTTGGAAATAATTCCATACACATTTGTGTTAAGTAGAGTATCGTATATCACCACAATGATTAAACAAATTTCAGTGAAATCGTTTATTGAAGTTTCATGTTAATTCAACTGAATGGACTATATGCTTGTTGTAATCGATGCAGAGTTAACATCTGTTCTGCATGAAGTTTAAATCTAACTTAAATTTCCTACGTTAAAATGTAAGATTTGTATTGAGTCAATTATACAAAAAATTAATATTTAACAAAATACAAGGGAAAGTTCGTAAGTTCTATTTTAAGCTTAGTGTAAATATTATCAACACATCTACTCCATGTCTCCCAAGTGTTTCTTCCCTTCACATATTTTCGGCTATAATGTTGTAAACATATCTAATGCCTACATAAACTGTGTGCGCAGGTTATGCTGGATTGCTGCCACACTGGCATGTGCAGTTTTAGGAATAGTATTTATCAATTCGGCGTGGGATAATTTCTCCAAGGTCCCCATCATAGTAAACGTGGAGACCACAAACTACCCGTTGTACAAACTGCCCTTTCCTGCCATTACCATCTGCCCCGCCGTCAACGTTAAGAGAACTATCGGAGAAAACCTCCTCGAAAGGTATTGTTTGATACACTCGATCACGCATTTAAGTTGCCACAAAATTATTGGCATAGTGTGTCTACGTATATCAACCGTGGCTGGGTGTCATAGTTCCCTCGCCCAACAGATGAAGTTCAATGAAGACGAACGGAAGTAAACATAAACAGGTTCAATAGATAATTTGATGTATTACATTTTTAGTATTAGCCTCATAGTGCATCAAAGTACGTTCGGAAGAAAGTCTTCTGAAGTGTAAAGGGTAACATACTTAATCTAAAACTTCTTGACGATGGTGAAGAGTCAATTGAATAAAAATTTACTTGGATATTATCCATCGTCTAGTAATAAAACGTAAAAAAACGTAAAACGACGTTTCGGAGATGGGGCTCTATCTCCGTCTTCAGATTCCTACTCAGTAGATAGAGACGGAGATAGAGCCCCATCTCCGAAACGTCGTTTTACGTTTTTTTACGTTTTATTACTAGACGATGGATAATATCCAAGTAAATTTTTATTCAATTAACATACTACATGGAATAAAAGTTTATTTTAAACGTGTCTCATAAATCTAACACCGTTGAATGAGCTACCTCCACAACATGCCTACAGAAACACCGGCTAAACAGAAATTTCGAGAAAAATACAACAGAAAACAAAAGTGGTTTAATTTCTCGCATCTTATGTAAAAGGGTGATAAAAGTGTTGAACAGGAACATTAGAATTTTAGCTACAGGAGACTTCAAAAATATTTTCGCAATAAATGTCTTCCAAACACTAATACAAAAGCATACAAATTTTTCATAAGCATGTTTTAGCAAAACCAATTTGGGCGTTCAATACTTCACACACGGAGCCTAAAAATGCTTCAGGAATAATTTATCCAAGTTTTATATTCATTACGCCTTGTAACACATAATTACATCTCTCAAAATGAAAATATCAGAATTATTTACATTCACCTGTGTGGAAAATATAACGTTGATACAAACTACGGAGGAGGATTCGAAGCAATGACTCATACATCCCATTACATATTTTAAAAGACCCGCAATTGCACACAGTCTTTTGTTGTTGTTTTTTTCCCAGCGTCGTCTGAGGACAAGTTTTATCTTTAGAAATCAAATACAGTGCTGTAACATATATTTATTTCTAACAGTCAGTAAAGTCCGTAATCAATTTTTTTTTGTATTTCCTTGACAGAAACTTTCATACTAACCTAACCATTGCATAATTGGGAAAGTAAATTATTACAGGCAGAACGGATTGTGACCCAAACGTTCGCTCATATTAAAATACTGAGACAGAAATAAAATTATTTGTAAGTGCGGATGTTCGTAGCTGGGGAACCGCGATACTTTCTGTTTTAAAGTCTATTAATTGCAGGTACATGAACCGGACCCTAGACGACCACCTACGAGAAAGGTTCCGTCACGTGCTTAGTGGCTTATCCGTGTTCCAGTTCCCATTCTACTACCGAGTCGGTCCACATTTCAATCTCGTCAAAGATCTCTTGCGTCAACTGAATAATTTCACTGTTTCCGACTTCATGTTACAGGTGAGTGCAGTCTGGCGTGACATCTGTGTTTGTCCTTCCACATTACTGTAATAACTAACCTGGGACAGGCTCAGATAAGCTGAGCTACACAAGCTTCAGTGGTTCCATAAATAACAAAAATAATTCAAAATTAACTACACTCAGTAAAGTAATTCTTCAGTAGCTGACAGACGCTCAGCTGGTCAAAAAATTTCCAGTCTTCTACGGAACCCGATGTGCCACAAGACCCTATCCTGAAGTAGTCAAATCCAGTCCAAATTCCCCATTTCTTAAATATCTGTGTTAATATTATTCTTCTACCTACATTTAATCTCCCAAGAGGTATCTTCTCCTGTTGCCTGCTCTCTCTTTCGTCCTCATATCCTCATCAGTGCCCAGACAAACTTCCCTTCAGGCGAGGGTAGACTCACGCCCATTTAAAATATTCTCCCAAATTTCGTTTAAATCCGATCATCAGTTTCTGAGATGAAATATGCAGAGAGAATCAGGGTATTTCATCATAAGAAGGATGAGGTGATAGTAAGCTGGAGAGAACTGTATAATGAGGAGCTTTATCGTTTGTACTGTTCACCAAAAACTATAACGATGGTCAGATCAAGAAGGATGAGACAGGCGGTACACGTTCCGTGTAGCACGCGTGAGAAGATTAAGTAAGCTTTGAGATTTTCGCGGCGGTGTATACGAAGATGGCTGTCCTCTGGGTTGTAGCGCTGCGTAGTCTGGTAGACGTTTACCACGAGAAGAGAAATTCGTACAAAATTTTGTTTGGAAGATAGAAAAAAGTGATCGCTCCGAAGACCTGTACGTAGATGAGAGAATAATATTAGAATAAGTCGTATTAAAATTGAATGTGTTATGTGGACTGATTCATTTGCCTCAGGGTAATGACCGGTGGTAAGATCTGGTAAACAGTAAAATGGGCTTTAAGATTTCATAAATGTTGGGGAATTTCTTAACTACGTGAGCGGCTGATAACTACTCAAGAAGGAATCTGCCTTATGGAGCTGGTATTCTCTTGTAACAGGTCCTCCCTACATGTCACGAAGTGTTCAAAGATTGCTTCTGGACAGGATATGCAGTTAACTGCTGCACTGTATTTCACCTACAGCGAACAGAGGCTGGATTCTGTTATTCCTTCAACTCTCTCACTTCGGAAATTACTAGAAACTGGTAAGCTTCATCAATTACTGGTACGTCTTTTACGTCTTTGACTCTGATACATTTAGGAAGACCACCAGCTTTTAATTTTGGATCCCTTTAGTTATAACTCCGTGTTGTTTCAGAAAAACTTCGAATGTTTCGAAGAAACTTACTCTTTCCATCTTCACAGTAAATATGGATCAACGAGAAATATTTCTGTAATCAATTTTAATTTTCAATTGCCGTAATATGTGAAAATGTATTCTGGGATGTTGTGACGTATAGTTTAGTAGAAATTGACGAGACTACATGGCGCAACACCCCAGAAGAGAGTTGTTTTCATCCTCGTCGCCGAGAGAACCCCGAATCCCGTTTTCATGTAATTAACGCAATTCTTCAGTGGATCTAGTTTTGGAAAGTAGCTCTAGAACTGATAACTATCTGCAGACGACTTCATAATGCCGAAAAATGCCTCTGTTTATACAGAAATAACTCAACATCTCAAAAGTTGTGGTCGGAAATTAAAATGCAATAAATACACACAATACTCAGCGAAATAATTCAGTACGAGGTCACAGGTTGTTATCAATCTTATCGTAGTTCCTTCGATGCATCCCTCAATTACAACTAATTCGATCTTCTTTTCTTGGTAGTTCCGCCAGCGACGAGTTCTTTTTCGACGACGGATTAAACAGAGAACGCGGCTGCTCCCCCCGGCACAATATCGCATCTGGCAGTGCCACGGGTCTGGAGGTGTTCCTGGATAAAATACCAGAATGGGACTCCCTCGGAGAGGGGCAACTTGACCCAAATGGAGCGCGGGTTAATACTTTTCTCCTCATCTTCCCACTTCTAGTTTACAGACCATTTTAACAATGTCCTTGGTAGAGATGAACTACGGTAAAAAAAGAGGAAAAAACATGTCCTTTCTTGCGCAGAAGTTAAAAATCCGTTGTACTTATAAATCGGAAGTGCAGATGTGGGCGAAGCTAAGTCCGTGTCCACTTATACAGCAGTTTACATATTCGAACCTAACCTAACCCAATCTTTAAACATTTGAACGCAGCACAGTCCTTCTTGTCAAGCTGATACTCGCTCAGCTAGTTAAAAAAATATCCCTTCTTTTACGAGACCAGAAGCTTCATTATAGTGTTTTCAAGAGCCCGCACATGTCCAACGACCTGTGGTAACCTTTTGTAACATAACGATATTTTGAGGTCAGCAGTTGTTATTCCCCAGGCGAACCCGCAAACTAATGGACCACTCCTTGTCGGATGTCCGCGACTGCTTTTTAAATATACTTGCAGCTGCCCCGTAGTGAATAACTAAATATATCGCTGAAAATATAAAAATACAATAATCTTACCGCCCCTTTGGAAAATAAAACAACGCATAAGTCGTTCAACAATTTAAAATTATATTGAAGTTAGCACGGATGTGTAAAAACAAAAGACAAAATTCGACATGACGTGATTTAAGGGAAGATGAGAAATGCATCAGAATTTTTTTTGGAAAACCTAAACGGAAAATATGACTTGAAAAACCTACAAGTACATGAAAGGATAATATTAAAATGGATCTTAGGATATAAGCTGGATTCAAGTGGCTTGGGATAAGATCCAGTTGGCGACTCTAGTGAACACGACACTGAAATTTCAGTGGGAGATTTTAAGGCTTGTTGGTTGACTGTCAGCTTCACAAGAAGGACTATGTACCAGGGGGTTAATAAATGAGGAAGTAGGGACCTGAACCTGCTGGTTGTGGTACTGAAGATAAAAACTCAACACCCATATAGGAAACTAAACCCTGATCGTCCAAATTGATGCTAGTTTACTGTCTGATCGAAGATGTTTCATCATCTCTGTAATGAATGTCTTACGCCGACCATGATAAACGTGGTCATTGGATTGTTTACTGTCGCAGCTTTCGATTCTATCCAGGGCACAAACATAAAACAGATCTATCTGTATACATCTTGTGAATATCAAACGTTTTGTCACCATTTGGAAACACTTTGTTTGACTTAGTCCCATTAAAATAAGTATTTACGGTTAGGTAAATTTTAAAAGAGTTTTCGTGGTGCGAAAACACCTTGGGGGACCGGATAAAACACAGACAAAAACGACTGGAGCTAACAGACCAGTCAAAAGTTCCTTTTTGATGAACAAATGATGTTATTTTAACCAAATCCTTTTTCCATGCGCCACCTTATAAAAACATTCAACATTTGAAAGAGAATTTTGCTTACGAGAACTCGGTTCTAACATTATCAATACTGTATTGTAGTTCAGGTACAGTACTCACCACAATTAAGCACATGGTCAATGTACAATCACTTTATCACATTTATACTAACAAAGGTCGTTTATTTACGATTTTTTGAGGGTGCCAGACTGACAGCGTGAGTTACGGGACTTCACGCAGCAAGGTTAGGTTAAGTTGTGCTTCGTTTAGTGATCAGAACTTTTGTATTAAAGTATGCAGCACATTACGAACGCAAACATTCCACACGAATGAATAAACTTTGAATTTTAGTCACAAATATGTAGCGCGTTATATTTATTGCAGGGATGTAAACCTTCCACACGAACAAGCAAACTCTGAATTGATTTAGTCACTTCCTACTCTAGAATATCCGTGATTACAAAAGGGTCCAGTGTGGGGCCTCGGATATAAAATATATGATTTCTTACAGGTCGCAACATTGGAATAACAGCTTACAAAACATATATAATCTATAATCTACTACCCTTAACTTTACTTTATTTTTTAAATGAGTAATTTTTTTTTTAAATTTTCCATGGATCAATTTAGACTTATTTGTCTAGATTATGATTCATCATCCAATGGCTCCTCCAGAATCTGGTAAAAGCATATACATGCCTGAGAAGATTGCATCAACCTTCTCAGTCAAGATATCACCAGTGGTAACAGAATGTTCACCGGAGGTGAGAGGACTCGATATGTCGACAAGGAACTGCATGTTTCCAGATGAACATCACATCAAGTATTTCAAGACCTATACACTTCAAGGCTGTCTCATTGAATGCAGAATGAAGTGGCTCATAGATAAATGCGGATGCCACCCTTATTTCTACGACTTTGAGCAAGGTAAATATACATAACTACTGCTATTATTTAACATTATTTTGTATTTCCCTTCGTTACATATGAGGTTTATATTATAAATGGCTTTGAATGTTGACATTTCATAACTGGGAACTCTAACGAGATAAGTAGGCCATTTGCAATGTGAAATGAGTTAAGCCTGAATACATTTTACTGATGTCACTGATTATGCCACATATTACCCTAGGACAATTTATATTTGACATTATACTGGAGTAGAATGACTGCGCTATACAATGAAAGAGCAGTATTGACCATCATAATTCGAAGTTCGAACGCCGTCCCCCACACAGAAATCAAAAACAGAATTTCTTATTAATAGGCCTTAAACATGCCCAAGTCAATTGGAATTTCTCCTCTCCTCTTCTCTGTCTTTGGGTCCGCAGTGGCCGCGCGGTCGCTGGGACCGTGGGTTCGAATCCCACTCGAGCCATGGATGTGTGTCAGCGTTTTTCTGTGTTGTGCTGTCCTGTGTACAGGTAGAGGCCTTGCGACGGGCTGATCCCTCGTCCAAGGAGTCCTACCGAATGCCTATAGATCAAGCCAACGAAAAGTTGGGACCCGCAGTGCTCAGGCACTTGAAGAACGGGTGGTTCCCAGCATCCCAGTCTTCTCTGTCTTTGATCTGCTTCGTAAGTGGTCATAATCGGTTTACAGAGTAACCGCGGACCTCAATGCAATAACAAATAGAACTCTGCTGGATGGAAATGTTAGTAAGAGTGTTATAACAAAGAAGCAATGGCGGTACATTTTATTTTAAAGAAGTAGCGCAAAACGGTCGCTTTCACTAGCACAATTACAAAAAATATCCCCATAGAAATTAACACGCAGTTGACCAGATAGATTTTACTTTTCAAAAAACCTATGGATTTCCCTTTGAAAACGTCAGATATATATATATATATATATATCCACGCTTTTTATCCTACAAGACTTATCCTCTCTCTCATTTTCCATCTTTATTAAATATCTACGCCATTTTAAATGTGTTTCTATATTTATCACGCTACCCGTTATTATACAGTGCATTCGAAAAACATTGTGCAGTTGCGGTTATGTATCAATGTATGACCTGAAAACATTCGCACTGGCACTGGAAGTATGTTGACAGAACTGGCGATGCTGGCAAATCGTGGTTAACTGCACACTGACTTTCCGGGCGCCCTATACAAATAACACCTCACATGAGGTACTTCATCTCAATCTCGCGTTTCACTACCGCCATTGTGGACAGTGTGAAAGAAACAAGAATTACCTCACGAGTCTCACTTAATGGCTTCACGCGCTTTGGTCCATTTAAATATGATTTCGAGGCTATGTAATGTCATTTAAAGTAGGCCAAAGGTGGCTTAATTTTCACGTTTAAATTATCATAGTGCATTGCTACATTCTTTTTTTTTTGTCCGAATTCTTTTGTGGCGTTATTACACCAAATCCTGTTTGGGACCATGGAAATACTTTACTGTTTGTACGCTATTCTCACTCTCCGCGACATACTAAGAACTGCACATACCGTTGAAAAATAAAAATCCAACAAATGATAAGCCCTCTTTTTTCCTCCTAACAGATGGCGCTAAGGAGTGCAAAATTTCACAACTACCATGTTTAGCAAAAGAGAACAGTAAGTGCATTTTATTATAAAACCAATACATTTGACCAGAAATTTATTTAAAATTAAATAGTTTATGTTTCTGAAGGCCACACATTGCACAACATATACAGCCACCGACTGGCTTCGACAATTGGACTGCCTAAAATATGTTACCTTTATTTCCAACCCAAATCAGTATAAAGTATTGCTGCCGACAGTCAAATATATTTTGAAAAATATCATAAACGTACGTGTCATCTACAATGATGCAAAACTATGCACGTTAATTAAACTCATTCTACGCCACAGTATCAAAAATATTCTTAAGAATTCTTTAATGTCCATAGAACACAGACTGATGCATAGTAGTGCGCCACACTCTTCGTCAGGCCATTAAATTTTAGGAATATTAAATAAATGTTTTAGTGTATAACACAAAGAAACAACGGAGTGTCCCAAAAAGATGTATACAAAGCAACAAGTTTGACGGCCATATGTCAGTCAGATGTTCTCCTCTGTCAACTGCGCCACGAAGCTGACGGTGGTAAGTTTGAACACCAACACCAAGTGCTGATGCTGACGAATGTAACGGTTTAGTTTATTAAAGTGTTTTATTTAATTCATTCAATGTGTCTCTACATCTTTTTGGGACACACTGTATGTCATCATCAAACTTGTGGAACATTCTGTATAATACATTACACATTACTGGGGGTCAGAAACTTTCTTAAAAGAGGATGGTATTATTCACACTGTCAATCATAATCTCAATTTAATCCACCAAAAAGGAATTTTGTTGTTGGATGCAATAATTGTTCTTTTGCCAGCTAATCTGCGAGTGTACAACCCACCACCTGGATACAAAAATTTGAATGCAGAACAAGGATCAGCAGTGCTCAACTGCTCCAATTGCTTACCCACATGTCATGACAACACATTTCTTGTGGATTATGACATGGTTCCTGATACTGATCCTACTACAAAGGAAAGCACTGGCCACATTGACGTTTTTTACAATGAAATGGGTGCAATTAAGTATCGACGAGAACGAGCTTTCAGTTTAATGCAACTAATTGGTACGTATGTTCAAGGGAATTAAATGCCCCGTGAAAGCCATTATTCAATATAAGGAAAGTGTTTTACATGAGTACAAAAAACTTTATATAACTTAGAAATTATCAGAAGTAATCGCATGAAGTTTTCAAGTTACCTTTAGTACTGCTTTAGGATGTGATGTCACCTTGCACAGCTATTCACTTTCATGCTAACGTTTTGCTTTACCACATTTACACACGAGACAGCCACATGTTACAAACGAACGGAAACACAAACGGGAAGACGTTTTGCGAGAGAATATCGCTTGTATGTTCATAACTCGATACATCAAAGCTTCTGTCAACACCTGTTTTAGTTTGATTACATTTGAGTGTCATCTCTCGGAGTTATGAGCAACTACACCAGCACTGAAACATCGACGTACTTAGCTGGCAGGAAGAAAGTTTACACTTGTCATTTAAATTAAACTCGGCACTGAAGTGGTTAATTGAAAACTGTTCTTGTACGCAGAAGGATCAGACAGACCAAGAAAGTTTTGCCTATTTAAAATAAGGAAAGACCATAATTTCGTAGTTCTTATTAGATTCATACCGGAGATTGAAATGGGACATAATCTCCAAGGCTGCCTCAGCATCAATTTCTTACACTGTTTACATTATTTTATGAATACTTAACCCTTTCCAATGGGCATTGAAACTGTCAAGGAAATAATATTACAATTTTAGAAAACAACAGTCTTTGGTATACAAAAACGTAGCTAACCTGGATGTTCACAATATGTAAACAACAGTATAAGTAAATTCAGTTGGTACCAGCTTGGTAGGATTTGAGGTTATAACAGTGGTGAGTATGGTCATCATCAGGGTTGTAGCACCATATAGTCTGGTATAAGTTTTAACAATGTTTCAGAGGTCCTTACTGCCTCCATCATCAGAGCAACTGCATATTACTCATGTCTATGATTAGTGACCTTCAAATTGCATTATTACAAACCTTGTGATAGATGTGTGCACTCCACCTGTCAAAGAACGTGCACCATCTCAAATTTTTAAGACTAATTAATGCCACTTCTAAATTTTGTATATATGACTGTATTCCTTGTAAATATCTGAACACACTAAAGGGTTTGTTTTCTTAAATCCTATTTACAATTCTGCGATTTTATAATGTGCCATATAGGCCATTAAAATTTTAAATTATTCTAAATGAACTATATACAGGAATGATGATTGCAGATGTGATTATTCATATTACATTAAATGTATCAATGACTCAAATCACATTCCATGCAAAGAAGTTAGTAAGAAAATCAAGACATATCAGTAATTTTGCAAAATAAAATAATTGGGCCTTGGAAAATAAATTTTAATGTTAATTTATAAGTAGACAAAAGTTCTTCTAATAATTATACTGAACTTTGACTGTTTCCTTACTTTTAGTTTCCTTTGGTGGAATCATGGGATTATTTCTTGGAGTGAGCTTACTAAGTGGTGTTGAAGTGATCTACTACGTGCTCAGAATTTGTATGGCAACATACATCAAAATACAGCAAAGAGGAAAGCGAGAACCAAATACAAAGAATTTTCTTGTTTCTAAAAACAAAGTTCCAGCACTCAAAGCTCTTTCATTTATGCCACCCATAGATTCAGATTATACTAACCATTATATAAAGAATATTTAAAACATGTAGCAAAAGTTTTACATATGTACAGTGGGTCATGGAAGACTGCATAATACTCTGTACTTACAGAACAAATCTTTGTTACTACCTGCAGTTGTTGAAATGTGTTTAAGATGTTAATTCTGAAGATTACATTACTCTACCATTGTTACTCACCATTTATAATATTCAGAGCTTTCTCCAGTGGTGCACATCAGTGTTTATTGCAGGCCAGATCTGATGATGCACTGATCACTACTTAAAAGCACAGATAAAGAAAACAACAAATCTCAATAAAACTTATACGAATAAGAGTTCACAGAATTCAGTTTATGATAGAATAATCATCTATGTCTGGAGTAAAAACTGAAGTCCCAGGAACATTCTGGAAGGTCAAATGACCAACTGGGACAATGGATGTCCTACCATATTCTTGTCTACCCTAATATTAATTGCCTCATCATTGTACAGTGTGTCCACAATGTCCCTTTGGGTTTTTTAAAAATTGTGGCGCGCAAACAAATTGAGCTAGCCACATGTGGTTTGTAGCAGATTACAGTGAAACTCTGGACGTTTTTTACTGACCTCAGTAGACCTCAATGTGGGCTCCCTTGGTAGCACAGAGAACGTCCAGACGATATTCGAGCTCTTGCCATATTCTGTGGAGCATGTCTGCTGGAATAGCCGAGATCGCATTTCTGGTACTGGTCTTCAGGTCATCAAGTCTGTTAACTGGTGTTCAGAACGCATTGCTCTTGACATAACCCCACAGGAAAAAATCCAGTAGTGTTGTCTGGCGAACGTGGAGGCCAAGGCATTGGACCGTCTCTGCCGATCCATCTTCCTGGAAATGTCCTGTCCAGGTACGCACGTACCTGCAGACCCCAATGAGGTGGAGCACCATCTTCCAGAGTTTCAATGTATTCTGCCGCAAACCGCATGTGGCTAGTTCAATTTGTTTGCGCACCACAATTTTTCAAAACCCCGAAGGGACTTTGTGAACACACTGTATATCATTGTTAACACGCTATCATCCCTGGAAACAAAAAACTCATATTCTAAGCCAAAGAAAGCCCTGAAATACCTGTTCATCATCCCATCTAAATAGCTCCCACCACCATCACTACCATTAGTGTGTCCAACCAAGAAAATTACAGCGATTTGTTAACGGTAATAAACCTCTCAGTCCACTAAAGGGGAACGGTGATCCCATAATGGGACCATTACATAGTTTTCCACACATTTCTCCATATATAACAGTAAGCTTTAGTAAATATTCCTTGCTTCATAATATCTTAATAAAGATCTTTAAAGTTGTAAAAAAAGAACTATCTTTTATATAATACAAACCTCTTATATATATATACATATCATGTTCATGTGCCTGTATGTTGCACTCTTTTTATGAAGGAAAACATAAGAACAGCCATTCCTGGATTCTGGTCAAAAGACAAATTTTCTTGATGTTCAAGCAAACTGACATAGTCTCAGATCATAATATAACATGCTCTCCATAATTTTGTAATGAGTAATTCCCATTACACTGACAATTATTATATGATGATAAACAGAAAATATGCAATAACACCAAGAAAGCTGGGGTGCACCATACATTAAAATTAATATCAGTACCTCATGGAACATATGAACTGAATATAACATAAAACAGACAAATTTCACAAAATTTAAAAATACATTTTCCATATCAATTTGGCACAATGCATAAAATGGCAATATTAAATATGGTATATTTTGCAATACTTGGCATATGCTTCCATGAATTTGGCAGAAAAATTATATAACCTACACAAGTGCATTGTTTTGTTTGTCATCACTTAGTAAAACAAAATAACAATTCTTGACTTATCCACAAAATGCAAATAAACATGCTCTGTAGTGCACTGTGTTTTTGTTAAACCAATAGTCATCATATCCATACTCCTTCAATATTCTATTTTAAATATGTGCTCTATAGCAGTGGTATTCAACCTTTTTTGTTCGCGTACTCTCAGATATAATTTCTCTTCAACTTTGTACCCCCAAAGTTGTTGGTGTATAATTCAAGTTATACATAGTATATAATCTACTTCCAAAATAAATTAAATTCAAAATAATATATTAAATAATAAGTTTTAAATTAGAATAAGGAAAATCAAGCTATTAAATTACAAATACATTATTGTCTATCATATAAAAATTAATAAAGGAACAAAGGTATTCTAACAAAGCAAAATAATATGTTTAAATATTTTATCAATTATTAATTAATGTGGATCAGACCTGTTAATGAGATGATTGAGCTCGTTTCTGCCGCCCACATAAGAATTTCATAAGTGAGAGAGTGAGAGGAATGGCGCTCCCAAATTGAATGTAGTTACATCCGGTTCTTCTGTGGCTAACCCTAAATCTGGCCCTGATTATGTAATGTTTATCATAAAATAATATATATATTTTTTTTAAATTTCAAGTACCCCCTAAGATGTCTTCGCATACCCCAGGTTGAATACTACTGCTCTATAGGAATAACTTGTAACTTCCCCCCTCTATACACTAGCAAAGCTAAAATTGTATGTATGTTTCAGTACATATAGGCCTATGTGCTTGATACACTTACATAAAATCATAAAAAATTGGAGTGACGAGTAAAAAGCTCTTCGTAATGCAAATATCACAAACTGTCATTTTTGTATTCTTATATACATGTGGAAATATTGAGCTGCACTGAAAATCAAAGCAATGATTACATCCATGGTGAGATCACACTTCAGTTCACTGCACAACCGAGTATCGTCCAACAAGGAACACGTGGCATTCATCGCACACCCGAACTGGCTTGGCAGATGATGGCAACGACATAGTATTATCTGAACATGCATTGCAGAATATTTCCCCACAGTTACGACAATGATGCTGCAAAAAACAAGATCATCATCATCGCATTGAAAAACTTCAAAAAATCTGCTTGTTGATTATGAAGTAAAATTGGAACAACCATGTTTCAGCAATATATAAACACATGGACATTATTTAATCTACCCCACTGACTTCAACGTACTTCATTACCTGATTGAAATACTGGCTTCTCGTCTCATGTCAGTGGTGTTGATAATACTGTTAAGGAATTACCATAACACTAGCCTGTAACGCATCTTCTTATTTTAAAGTCAACGGGTTAAGCCCAACAAAAGTAAAACAGAACTGAAACTAATCAAATGGCCTTTAGTTCAGCCAAACAACAGGATAATCTCAACTCTGTAGTAATTTAACTCTTGGGGACATGAACCAGAACATTTATGATCTAAATTTTGTATTCATACAATTATACAGTAATAAATCAAAACAGTCTAGAGCCATCAATTGCTCCGTCCCCTACACTTTGCTGATTTGTCTGTTATAACTTAACAAACAGAACCACAAGAGTTACATTCTGAGGAATCCATGTCTGCTTTACTCTCCTCTACTTGTTGTACCAGCTACGGATCTGACTTACTGAGTTGTCTTATGAAGATTATCAGGATCACAGTCTTAAACCATGAACAATTTGTAAATTCGAAACCACACTATCGTGTTCAATACTGGGATACTGGGAACGGCCCGTTCTTCAAGTGCCTGAGCACTGCGGGTCCCTACTTTTCGTTGGCTTGATCTATAGACATTCGGTAGGACTCCTTGGACGAGGGATCGGCCCGTCGCAAGGCCTCTACCTGTACACAGGACAGCACAACACAGAAAAACGCAGACAAACATCCATGGCTTGAGTGGGATTCGAACCCACGGTCCCAGCGACCAAGTGGCACAAGGACCACGCCTCAGACCGCGCGGCCACTGCAGACCCCTAGTGTTCAATACGGGAACAACAAAATGAAAAGAATGATACAGTATGTGTAACACAGATAAGAATAAAAAATGCAATTCACTTTCTCTCATGGTGCCTCTGACTTCCAGAATTACATTAAAAAAAATACAATGAAATCTCTTTAAATCGAGAACTATAAAAACTCATAGCTGAATGTATACAAAATACAGAAAACCAATAATTTCTAAACTTAATAAAGTTAATTACAGGCCCAAATTCTATGTCCTATCTATACTCTCAAATATAAAAGCTGACACAGTACATTATCAATGTCAGATTCCAATATTGCTCATAATGCTGAAATTCCTTACCCGTCTCCGTGTGATGTTGAACTCCTTACTACACCCCTTACAGTGAGTCACTTCTTTGTCTGAGGCCCACTGTCCTTCCCCTTTTGCAACATTCCTTGTTGCTTCCTCTTTAAGATCTGCAACTTGAAGCTTTGATATGCTCAGTTGATTACCAAGTTCTTCCAATGTCTGTTCTTGTTCAGTGTACTGTTCCTTCAGTTGGTAGTGTTCCTCTTGCAAAGAAACATATTTCTGCCAAGAAATATTATTGTATCAAGTAAAGGAGTCCCTGTGTCTCACACAACTTTCTACATTTTCATTTCACTCATTATCAACTTTTCAGTAATATTAAAGAACACCAGTCATGTTTAGTTGCGGGCATTTAGATCAAGAAAAACTACGAAAGCAAGAAATGAGTATCAGAGAACAGCACGATGACTCTCTTTCACTAAACTGCTGATTCTTACACAAGTATATGGAATTTCAAAATCAAACTCATTCACAATGGATGTCATTTGCAGATAGAATTCAACGAACTCATAAGAAATAAAAGAGGGTACAAATATGGGCCTTCTAGTAATACGGAACTTATACTTCACAAATAACCTGCAAGAAGAAAACATCCTTAGGGTTGGCCCCAATGGGGAGAGCAGCTGTAAAAAATTTTCAAGTGAATCAAGTACTCATCAGACTGTTTCGAAAGGTTTTGAGAGCCAAAGGAGTGGGCCGTAAAATCTTCGTGGACAATCATCACATCTCCAAAACTTTTTATGACCTCTATCGGAGGAAAGTCAACTCCTGCATCACAGATCCCTCCTGACTTTAGCCCCATAACATCCTAGACTAAAGAATTCAATTTAGTAAAGTTTGTCCTGCTACGTGCCATACAGGCGCTTGGGGTGAGTGGAGGTATAGCTCCTCTCTTTCTTGACCTTGGCACTAGATGGGGGTGAGTGGTCAGCATCATGCCCCGGCCGGCTTTACCCCCGGGAAAGGACCCCAGTACCCACTGTAGAGGAGGCTGGGTGGGCCCCAGAGCCGGTCTGGACGCAGAGGCCAGAGGAAAAATCCTCTGCCCCCCGTCGGGGATCGAACCCCGGTCGTCCAGCCCGTAGCTAGTCACTATACTGACTGAGCTATCCCTTACATAACAAGAAGACTATACAGCCCAAGAACTCAGAAGACCACACTTTAAATGTACATCAAGGTCAAATATTAAATCCTGAGTGTTATTATGAAAATTAGATATTTAACACTGTCAAGTTGCCAGTCAAGATATTTAAATAAGACTGAATTATTCGGGATTGAATACAAAGTTGGCCCTTGGTGCACGAGTTTGAATATTCAGTCTTGATCACCAGACAAGTTCATTAGGTATGATTTTGTGAAATTACTTACTGATGCAACAGATTTCAGTTGTCCCAACTCCTGGTGAAGCTGAGATATCTTGTCTCTATCCTTCACCATTGTTTCTTGCAGTGATGTCCGCCATTCCCTTTCTATCCTAAGATCACCTTCAACACTAGAATTTTGCACCTCTTTTTCTGCAATTTGCTGTCCAAGTTTTCGAGAAGACTCCTCAGCTGTTGTTCGTTCACTTTCACACTGCTTGTACCTAATTTCACACCAGCAAAATGTAACAGGAATTGGGAACAGGAACAGAAAACCAAAAATAGAACAAATAGCATAATTAGAAAAAATAAAAAAAATTGTTGTTTCAAAGCTGTGAAGGACTGAGCCATACAATTTCTAGTACTACCAAAAAAATAAAATAAATCATATATGCTATCAAGTCGTCACTTTATAAAAATGTCCCTATCAGTTTTAAATTGTGTCACTTGCAGGGATGTAGGCAGAGCTCATACCAGTGACATTCTCTCTTATTCTTCATTATAAATTATGAAAGGCAAGAGAATGACCCTCCTCTAAACATGATTACCTACATGCCTACAGTCAACATTCCAAAACAAAATGTGACTGATATAATGAAAATAATGGCAAACCCTCAAAACAGACAACCTAAATGAACCAAAAAAGAAATAACCAAAATTAGGTATAAAAAATAATGAAGGGAAAATGTTTTCACACTTTTGATCAACCTTATTATACAAGCCATTAGTTGAATAACATAAACATATTTTTCATAATATATACTTTATTACAGAATACCTTTTACAAGCAATAAGCACAGATAATGAAAAGTTCTCATATTACTGACAGTGCAAGGAACAAATATTTAAAATTCAGTCAATTTCCTAAAAATTGTATAATACATGAACACTCAAGTAGTAAATGAAAATATTACATTATCATGTGGCGGCCT